TTTACTAAATGAACATGTAAACATTTTCTGCTGAGAATGCCACATCTCTATGCATCGAAACTGTCGGAAGGAATTCACCTTGTGCCAAGGCCATCCAGATCTGCTAACCAACAATCATTAAAGTTGGTTATCTAATAAAGTTGGTTATATTACTTGAATAACCAACAATATCAACAATAATCAATATTGATCAATATTGAATATCCGTAAGACGCAGTTTTTTTAAAAAAAAAATGTTTTGAACATCAATCGTGTGTGGTCTGGCCACTCAACCTCCAGATTTGCGAGGCCACATCCTAACCCAAGCGACGTGCCGAGTTCGCTTTCAAAGATGATGGGACCCGAGGTCCATTTAAACTTTGGCGGTGGAGCTCATGATTGCCTGTGCCCGGCATGCGTTTTGGGTAGACCTTCCCTTTTAAGTTGTTTTTTCATGTTTTTTCCCTGTACAAAGAAGTTGCATCTGTTGTAATGCAACCTTGGTTCAGAAGTTTCCCGCTGCCTCTCCCACACCTCCCCAAAGCTTTTGACAGTCCTCACCAACCTACCCCCACTCAGTTGTGGCACACAAGCGCCCCACAAATTGACAACTCCGACTGGACCTCTTCATCTCAAAAATAGCAGGTCAAACCCACTAGTTTCAGGAGATAAAATCGTCAAAACTGAACATTCAAAGCTGTTGCAAACCTCCGGACAACCTGATGACCCAAAAAGTGGTGCGAACCTGTTGAATCACTGTTGAAGATGTGTGATGAAAACCAAGAGAAACCAACATTATGATATTTCCAAAACAAATCATGTTTACTGATATCTGATGAAGAACACACTTTGAAGGAAACATGTTGACCGCTGTTTGCATTAAGATGCATCACATATGTTGCAATCTTCCCATCAAAACCTCCTCTCACAGTCCTCAAGCTTCGGGGTTGGGTGTAATTGCGCGTACACTGCGTTGGGTCATGTAGTTCGTTGTTTGATGTTTATCGCACTTGTAGTGTGCATATCACTTTCCATCTTGTCGTCCATGTTAACTATGCAGCAGGTCGCGCAGGCTTTGGTTCAGACTTGGTGCATGTTGTAGACGATGCAAAACGCCAAGAGAGATACCGTGCGTTCGAAATCGTCATTTTCTGATGTGGCAGCAAAAACTTAAGGCCACTTTTTGTCATAATGACTTCATCTAAAACCTCCGATTAAAATTCAAAAATTGTGTCATGGGGGCCGCTTAAAAGTGGAGACCGTTGCTTGACGTGGGTCCATTGTCACTGTAAAAATTGAGGTTCACGGGGCGTCCAAAGGAGCGACTACATAGCCATTCCAAGTGAAACTGGTCGTAAAAGCTAAGATCCCATAATCCAATATCTAATGGTGGAACCTCCTGTAGATACAGCTGCTGTTGGCATGCTGCCACCATTCTGCGTGGTGAAAATTTGGCCAGCTGCGTTTGCAACGAGTTGCAAGCAGTTGCACGCATGGTTGGAGCTTTGTGTTGATTATGCATGGCATGAAAGTGTTCAATGCTGGGATTATGTCAATGTCCTGTCAAGATTGACTTCCGCACTTGGATGTGAAAACAGCCCCATTGTTTCGCACGTCTTTGTGTCCATGCCACTGTTGGGGGAGCCCACTCCGTATCGCGTATCGTTCTCGCCGCGGATCGAGAGAGCATCAGGGGAACGGATGGGTCTTTGGAGTTTTCGGTGCCCAGTTTGAAGCGGAGTAATCCTTTGATTTTCTTTGGTAATGGATCAAAATGGATCAAAACATATCAAAAGACATCAAAAGTATACCTGTTGGGACCTACTGTACACATTGCAAGGCCAGCGTTCGTATTACATCGTATTACATCCATTTGCGGATATTCGCCATCCACAAACTTCGCCTGCAGTTTTGCCTCTTCGATTTGCGCCACATTGGACCAAGAAATGCCTGGTCTCTAGGATCTGAAGGCATCGTATTTCAGGCATTTCACATCCTATGTTTTGTCAGTGCCCATGCCCCAAGATTTGGGATAGCCGCTGGATGGCCGGAAAATCCCCCTAGAAAAAGAGCTTGTTTATTTGTTTCATGGGAAAATATGTTTGGGATCAAACTAAATGGAGGATTTTCCAGCCCGGCAGAGGTGTAGTCGTCCCTGATTAACTGAAGCCCCAACTTGCCAGCTCACCGTCTGACGTGCCAACGAAAAACTGCACCTTTTCTCGTTCGACGAGTCACCCATCAACGTGGCGGTTGTGGACCACATTTCATGTGAAACGATCAGTGGTCAAATGTCGGGTTGCGACATCTCCAAATGACTGGGTGTAACTTATAGAATCACTGCTGTGACTGTATAACCAAATTATATCTATAAAATTATATGTACGCGTGATATTCCCCCTTATTTGCTGGCTATTATATATATATGTAGATTATCCAGCTACTGAATGGGATGCACATCCGCATCTGTTGGAGAGGTGGCTCAAAAGACTTCTCCCCTTACGCTCAGACGTCTAAAAAAACAATATAAAACTATTCTGGAGTGTATAGATTGAGATGTGCATCAATGACGTGATATAACATGTACATATATCAGCAGGGATCACCAAACCCCACCCCTCAGCCAGATGGTTCCCTAGCCCCCCGGGCTTCGGGGGGGTTCCCAACAACGGTAGTCCTACATGGGCAGTGTTTGTGCAGCTCTAAGTGGTTGATGTCCAGTGTGCAAGCAGTGTATGGAGAGTATCTAGGGAGTTTTTTGCAGGGAGTAAGGAGTTATTTGCGGGGAGTATATGCGTATATACATAGTGTATAGGCATGCTATGCAATGAGTCGTACAAAGGTACGCTATAAAACATGTGAAGGTAGTATGCGCAGGGTGTAAGGAGTATATAGGTAGTGATGAAGCAATGTATATTCTACAACTACACATGGGTATGTAATGTTGGTTGGGTATTTACATGTAGATATAAAATATCTAGGTAAAATACATTTAATTTGTTATAATGTATGTATGTATATATATATATATATGTGCAGGTACATACTTACTGCATCAACGCATATAGATCATATAGTATATGGGAATATACAAGTATGCATTATTTATAGGTACGCTTTGAGCATATAAGCAGAAGTAGCATAAAGGCATACAAAGAGTGGTAAAGCATGCATGAGGTACGCAATAGGCAGTACATAAACAGGTTTTGGGTAGTATGTGCTAGATTGATATGTTAGAAATATACCGCTAGACAGAGTCTAGTGACAAGGTTGTGGCTCTCAAATGCTGCAAATAACATACAAATGGGAGGCGGTGCCTCCAAAATGCTTGTAAATAGCATGCAAATTCGAGGTTTGGGAGGTGGAGTGGGGGGGGTGGGGGTCCGGGGACCGGGCTCATATGTATATAGCCACCGCAGAGTTGAACAAGAAAATGCTACATCTGTGCTGCGAGTGGATGGTGTGCAAAATTCAAAACCCTGGGTTTTGATTCTGAACCCCGGGTCTACAGCAAGACCCTGCGAAATTCCCGGTTCTTGTTGGTCAGGGTATATATATATATACACAGAATATTAGATATTAATTATAGAGATTGATCCAATCTGTTAGTTATCATGGTCTATCCTCAAATCTTGGGAAAGCAGACACATATCACATAGGAATATTAACAAAACTGGATAGCGAATGTTGACACCTCTCAAATCTCAAGGAGAAAAAGGCAATCCTCAGATGTCACCCCTCCATTTCTTTGGATTTCGAGACGTCACCCAGTGACCCACCGGCCCTTCTTTGAGAAGCCGCCAGCGAGTTTTCAACTATAAGAGGTTGGTTTTTGCGCGGAGGTCCCGGCCCACAGTGTTGCGGTGAGAGAAAATATCATTCAAAAAATGCAGATGCTCATGATGTTCAATGGATTGGTTTGAGAGAAATTTTCCAGGAATTTCCATGGTGATTACCATCAAGTCTAGGGGGTTGCTGTGAATTTTCCACTAATCCATTCCAATGAGATGTCCAAATCTATAAATCATCCGTAGTGTCCCTTAAATTCTAATTCATCATGTGGAAATCGGGGATTCCTGAACGTGGCATATTGACCCAGCTTGCTGAAATCAATTTCCAAGGGATTTTCCGAATCGCTGGGACCTCAAAGACGCCATCCAGCAGGCAGCCCCACAAACACCGCAGGTGGGGCGTTTTGTGGAACTGTCACTGTCAGATAGCAACGCCAGTCACACGTCACAAACGTATTGAAGAGACATGATCAAACAACATCACTCAGCACTGAATTGACAAGTGTCCATTCTCACTAAATTGGATCATCTTTAAGATTGGGAAGGGAAGCTTCTGATTTTGCCTCTTTGCAATTTGCAACGTATGAAAAAGATTGCCGGCCTAGCCTAGGCCTAAGCGAGCCGTCTGCAAGGATGGTGCAACATGTCACATGGCATGGTTGCCCTGGTGATGTTCAGCATCATCCTTTCGATGCCGCTATGGTGGCAGTAATGCGGTGCCGCACACCGGCGAGTCCGGGGAAAAAAAAAGTGTAGTCCAGACTGATCATGCTTGGTGTCTTGACATCTCTATCTTGACAGGTCTGAACTTGTATGACTTCAATGGTTCTAGAACTCCTAGAACTCTTGATCCCGTGATCCATAAAAGTAATGTTCCACAAAGTCCATATTTCCCGGGTTGGTTAATTCAACACCAATTTGGATTATGTAAGTGCATACCTCAAGTCTGCGCCATTCTTGCATACCTGTGAAGCATTGGGGTTAACCTCCAACTGATCAACTTAAAATGTGCAAAGTTAACCCCGCACTAATAAACCCTGGTTGACTGATTCGGAGGTAACCCCAAAAAATCTGAATATAGTATCTGCTAATTGCTAATAATATATATATATATTGATATGTATATTACTTATATTACTTGGAAAAACGTAAAATGACATCCTAAAACTTTGATATGAGTCATGGTCAATACTCACTATTCATGGTTATTCATGGTTATTAACCATGAGTATTGACCATAGCTTTGATATGTTTTCAGGCCTGATCAGGGACTAGGACAACCGGACCCAAGGAAGGGGGTCGGTTGCAACTCATGTCATAAACTTACGGAGCCTCAAAACATCCGCGAGAAACGCTTGTTTTCTTTGCTGACCTGGCCGAGTGGATCCACCTTGGATCGTCCTCGTTACACGGTTGGATCAAAAAAGGTGGAACCACCAAGCAGGCATACTAGAATCAATGTACTTGCGTGTTTTTGAGTATGAACTTGATTGAACAAAAATGCACCATCTCCAACAAAGGGAATCATCCAGTTAACATGTTTCAATATGTTTCAATGGGTTTCATCTCAAGCAGGCGTACTCCCCCACAGGCATCCACAGGCAAAACCCCCAACAATAGGGGCTTAACAAGCCACTGAGCCACTGAGGGCTGATGAAAATCCCTTGGAAACTGCCTGCCTCGTAGGGCGCAGAATTCAACATGTTCAACAGGTCCTGTGAAGAGCGGGGCTGGAGATGTGGATACTCTTGAAGAGTTGGTGAACTTCGTGATTTCTCTTGATCCCTCCATATCCCTCCATTTTTTCCAGTCTAGACTGTCTAGATGTCTCTAAAGTCTCTAAAGTTTTGAGTTCTGGCCTGCGCCAAGTTCAGGCATCTGCAAACACAAAGAGATGGAAACTTCGAGATCTGCAAATCTAGAGGTTTCAATGGTCAAATACCCAGGCCGTTGGGATCAAGTTATCTTCAATTTCTTGAAAACCGGAGATGTTCTCCTTAGCCATTTCATAGAAATGGCTACCAGAAAATGCCCATGTCGAAACATGTTTCTCAACCATCCATGGGTCAATCCCTCCAAACTCCTCAAACTTGACTCGACTGAAAGAAACCTGAAATGGCAGAGGGCTGGTCATACCATGTGGCCATCAAACATGGCCGGCTGCTGGGGTGGATTTTCCAACCGTGTTTGACTAAAGCCAGTGACATCCGCAGCAGTGTTTTGAAACATTTTGAAACTATGAAACATATTAGATGAAACATAAACCCGAGATGACTATGAACCATTCCCATCATCCGAATTGCAACAAGATAATTTGCCCTATATCCGAAAGCGTCTGATTTTGAAGCGTCAACTGAGGCAATTGGGCGAAAACTCGGAAGAGGAGAATAGCAGTCTGCGTGTTTTTTGTCTGGGAAACCATGGTTGCTGGCATGAAATATCCAGCCATCGAAGATATCAAGCGGGATTCCAAGGGCTAGGTCACGGCCTCAACAAAACTGAATCTTTCCGAGGGACTCTTGATTTAAACACCGATTCTACATAAATACAAAAACTCAGAACCAATTTATGTACAAATATATACATGTATTTACTGCTGGCTACTAACAACTAATAACTCACCAAAAACCCGCCCCTGTAAAATGTCACGGGTCATTTCGGGATGGTGACCGCAATGCTATGGAAAATGACCTGTTTATACATGATTTATGGTGATTGACCTATTCAAAAGTATGTGCTTTCTTTTCTATAGCTAACTTATATTAACTGATTACCTTGAATGCCAAGAAAAGGCGCCAAGCACATAGTATTGTATCCCGTGAATATGATATGAATAATGCAATTTAGTTCACATACGGAAGATTATCTCCCTATAATTACTATACCCATCGATATATTTCTATTCAGAACAAAAAATTGCCCATATACCAGTACTGCCGCACAAGGCGGTGGCGGAAGTTTCAAAAATAGGAAACCTATAGGAGAGGTTGGTTGTTGTGAGTCACGAATCGCAGAGCGAATCCACTGATGGACCCAAAGGTGGTTGGTGTTGTGTTTTTTTGGAATGGTTGCAGTGGCCACCTCACCACAACTGTTGGATGTGGTGTGGTGTAGTGCAGTTGTAGTTGTAGTTGTAGTGTAGTGTAGTGTAGTGGAGTTGTATATAACTTGTATTTCTAATGTGATGTAATTAGTGTAGTGTAGTTGCGGTTGAAGTTGCAGTTGTAGTTGTGGTGTGGTGTAATTGGTGTAGCATATTGTAGTGTATTGTTGTGTACTGTAGTGTGGTATAGTGTAGTCTAGTCTAGTGTAGCGTAAAGTACTGTAGTCGTAGTTGTAGTGTAGCGTAGTGCAATGTAGTGGTAGCTGTAATTGTAGTTACAGTTGCAGTTGTAGATGTCATGCAATGTAATGTAATGTAATGCAATGTAATGCAATGCAATGCAATGTAATGTACTGTAATGTAATTAGTGTAGTGTAGTGTGGTGTGGTGTAGTGTTGCGTAATGTAGTGTAGTAGTTGTAGTTGCTTGAATATTTGTAGTTGTAGCGTGCTGCAGTGTAATTAGTGTAGTGCAGTGTAATGTAGTGTAGTTGTAATTGTAGTTGTAGATGCGGTGGTGGTAGTAGTAGTAGTAGTAGCAGTAGTAGTAGTAGTAGTGGTGGTAGTGGTGGTAGTAGTAGTAGCAGCAGCAGCAGTAGTAGTTGTTGCTGTCTGCCTACCTAATCTATCTATCTGTCTGTCTGTCTGCCTGTCTATCTGTCTATCTGCAGGCTTGAAAATGCAGCTATTTTACGAGACTTCCTCAATTTTGAACTTGACAACATCAAAAACTAAACAATTCTGCGAGACTTCCTCAATTTTCGAAGTTGACAACGTCAAAAACGAAACAATTCTGCGAGACGTCCTTCAAAAATTTTAAATGGAAAGTTTAGTGGAGAGCTGTCGGCCTCGTACCAGTGCGTTTTGCGATTCTTCCACTCCATCTGTCTAAAGTACTACTCCTGCCACGGAAAACTGATGCCAGATCATGCGAAGTGCTGCACCTGTCACGCACAAAATCATCTCAGCAAACCTGAAGATCTGATGCTCCAAAAATGCAACCTCTCTCAGGAAATCAGCGCCCTGACCTCCTAACATCTCTGATGAACATGTCTCTTGTACCGCGCCTGCCACGCGAAATGCATCTTTCCAGATCCTCTTCAAAATGTCCCGCCTGCCATCGTTTTTAAAACCGTTCTGCTCACTTTTGACAAGGTGCACAATCCCTTGCGCCTGCCGCGCGAAACGACATCTGAACGTCCAAAAGTGTTCCGTGCCCCTCAGTTTTTTGCACTTTTGACTTCGAAACGTGCTTCGCGCCAGAAGGGTGTGCACTTTTTTGACATCTCAACTTCCAAAAGTTGTCCGAACATGGCGGGTTTTGTACATGTTGACTTCGAAAAGTGCTTCGCGCCACAACTGTGTGCACTTTTTCGACATCTCAACTTCCAGAAGTGCTCCGATCATGAGGTGCTTTTAGCTTTTTCACTTGCAAATGTGCTTCGCGCCACAACGGCGTGCAATTGTTCATCTCTCATCTGGCCAGCTGGCTCTGCACCCGCCGCTTTAGCGAGCCTACTTTTCGACCCTCCGGAGTCACAAATCATTGGAAAAACAAAGTGTTTCGCGACGTTCCTACCTTTTCGCGCACCTGGATCTTCTTTCTTCTGAGACTTCCTCTTTTTTGATCTTCTTTATTCTTCTCTTCTCTTCTCTGACTCTTCCCATCTCTGCTTTTCATCTGTCCATATTGTCGGAAGTTTGACTTCTAAACTTCCTTCGATTATATCAACAATGTGTAATATCGTAAAATATGATGCTTATGTGTTAATTAAATGCATTATGTAATATACTCATCTACTTCGGGATGACTATGCAGAAACCATCAGAATGATGAATGATGTAGATTAGATAATATAATATAATAATATATAATCACCGTATAGAAGGGTAGAACGTATTATATAATCTCTATGTACGTATATCTATGTACTATATTTCTCCATATTTCTCCTACATGTCTCCCATTTCCCCATGTTCGAAGAGAACGTACCTCTTGGAGGCTCTGCTTGATGAGCTCGAGGGAGATGCCGGGAAAATTCCCCGTGATGCACCTAGGAATGACACCCCTTCAGGACCATTGACCATGGCATACCATGGCTATGTTGGCTTACCGACAGTGAGATGTGTTCGTTGGAACTTAAGGAAACACATGGATCTATATAATTTATATATGTGTATATATACAATATATAATATAGATCTATATACATTATTAACTTACACATGATATGTATATAATATATAGCTTATACATAACATATACGAAACAAACATGGGAAGTTCAACCAACCCATTCATGGCAGTTGCTGCTTGAGGATTCACCGTGGGATAACGTCTATTGAGTCGACGTTCGTTCGAAATCTTCGCCAGGGGTTGATGCGGTTTGCCACCCCAAGAGCCAAGAATAAGGCAGATGAGCCTCGAAATTTGACATCTGATTCATGAATCGAAATCCTTCCAGAAAGATAGCTCTAAGGCTCTAAGTGCTTTATTTTATCGTTGGGTTTGGCACATCCCTTGATCACTGAGTATCACTGGATTTTCATTCCACCGTCCAAACGCCTTGCTGTTTTGAAGCCCTCCTCTGGCTCCATTTTCTTCCATCGATGGCCAGATGAGACCATGGCATATTCTCAGGCAAAGTATTATCATTCCCTCATCAATTCAATTCAGCCCACAATGGTTGGTGCTCAAAATGAGCAAATCTTAACGAGTTAACCCCTCCATGTTCATTGGTTGCTAAAACTGAATGGTGAGCAACTCTGGGTTTGTCTTAAATTTACTAGTAGTGTGCCCCTAAAGTCATTGGTTCCTCTCAAAACTGCCATAGCTCGGGGTTAAATCGGTTCAATGTCCTCTTTTCTCATCAACCAACCAGTAGAACATTTCGACTGCGCCAATGGCAAGTAACTTGCTCATCAGCGATCGCGCATCACCTCAGATCAACCATCTGCAATGGCTTGGGGGTTCCTGCAAGTGTATGCAAATGTCCTCTAGAAATCCCAAATCAAATAGAAAGTGAACAGAAGTGAACCAATGTTTGTCCCAGATCTCCAAAAGGAATCCAAAAAAGTCTGCGGCACCTTACAGTATCAGTTTGCGAGTCACTTCAGCTATTCCATTTGAAACCTCTCAGTCTCTCAGATTCATCAGACGATTTCTGCAACCAACGGATCGGGACAAACCTTCCACCAGCAAGCACACGTGGCAATCTCAGATGAGGTCTTGCTTCCCTTCCCTTACATCTATCTTTAAGATTCTGGGAATCGGCGATGTTTCTCATTACTCGTATTGAAAAGGTGGTTGAAGCGTACCATTTTTTGGGCATCCAATGGCACGATTCCAGAGTTGATTCATCTCATCCAAGATTGGTTTATGGAGTACGTCTCCATCTTTGTTGATGAAGGGCCACCACATCTGTTACAATGTTACGTATGTTTAGCTTAAGGCTCCGATCAAAATGATATCAACATGGCCGGTCAAATCTCTGATTGTCCAGTGTCCAGGCTCGACTGTCAAATCCAAATCTCTGATGGTTACCTTCTGGTGTCCTCAAACATGGATGGCTAGGAAATCCCCAAAAATATGGAGGTTTTGATCAGAACATCATCTACAAATATGGAATTTGCTAAGTGTTTGATTAGCAGAGGATATTTCCATGACCATCGGTCACCATGAATCACCATGAATCATCATTCTGACAACCATTATGAATCAGTATTCATCAATACGAATGACCATTTTTTTAACCATATATTAACCATTTATATATTAAACATTTATTAACCATTTATTAACAATTTATTAACCATTAACCATTGGGTCAATTGCTTGGTCACGTCCTTTGTGGCTAAAATTAGGTCGGTCTCGGCTTCCCCGCCGAGATCCCGTTGAAGCTTCCTGCAATCCCCTTCACCTGGCCAGGTGGCGATGGTGATGCCATGAATGGGTTGGTAAGTACTACCCTCTGGTTATTTAACATAGCCATAGAAAATCACCATTTTTAACAGGTAAACCATCTATAAATGGGTCGATTCCATGGCTATGTTAAATAACCAGATGGCACCCTCTGGTATAAACTGCCATGAATGGGTTGGTTGAACTTCCCTCTGGTAAGTTTTCGTGATAAGTTATGTATAAGCTATACCCTCTGGTAAACTAACAGTTTGCTATTGAAGCCATGGCCATAGAAATAGTGGATTTACCCAGCTACATAGCATGGTGATTTTCCAGTTCGTTATGTAAACGTTTACCAGAGGGTAATGATCAAAGGGAACACCATATAATGTGGTTAAAACAATGTCATAAACCACCCATGACTGGGAATGGTAACCAGACCACCTATAAAAATGGTGATGACTGGGGGATGGTTTATTATTGTTTTACCCACATTAATCTTTATATCAATATCAGTGATCACAACTATAATATCATGATATTAACTACTAGTATTATTAATCTAGTATGATATAATTATGATAATCATCAAACGGATGATAATAACTACTAGTATTATTGTATATATGATAATGATAGTTGCTAATAATATCTAATAATATTGAATAAGAAGAGTGATAACCATACTATATAATCATGAGTATATATGGTAATAATAGTAGCAATAGTAATAACTGATAACCATAGACCATAGTACATGTATAATTACTGTATACATATATACATAGTAATAATTGTGATGATGACGATGATAACTACAATGAGGATGAGGTTTCCCTTGAAGTATATGCCCCAAACGCAGCCGCCCTTCCGCCCCAAAAGCAAACCTCGTCCGTGGCTGTCATAGGCAGAGAATGCATACCACAAAGCAGATTCCTGGACACAAGACCCATCACCACCTCACTGCCCCGTGCAGAAAAAACAGTGACGTGCAGAAAACATGTGGAACTACCCTCCAGTAAATCCCCAGTCATTTTTTGAAAACCCACCATGTGTACATCATTTTCACGGAGAATTGACTAGATGGTACAATCATACCTTGGCCCTATGTTCAATGTTAAGGGAATCCACTAGTTGTTGGCTGCTTGTCACAGCCGTGCCCATCTCAACCGTGGCACCATGTGCCACCCATTCTACTGGACACCCAACTCCCGGAGTCGAAAACATCCAAACAAAGCCATCGATCGCCACGACAGTCGCAATGTCTTCAAATCTCTCCTGGCTATTCCTCTGGAACATCGCCTGGCGAATTCTTCGCCGAAACCACCATGGGTCATCTAGAAATGGCGGTCTTTATGCTCATTTTATAAGAATGGCTCATTTGAAGGGCTTTTTTTCTAAAGCTAAATGGGCCATTATAAATATGATTATCATACTTAGCTAAGTTGATGTATTGCATAGGTATAACTAGCATTCATTGTAGTACTTAGCTAAGTTGATGTATCGCATAGCTATAACTAGCATTCATTGTAGATATATCCAACTAGTTAATGGGGTGTATGAACCAACAAACGTAAGTGAGTACAGCCATCGTTTTGAGGGCCATAGGTCATGTTCCCTCACTAGCTGCTTCATGAAGGGTCAACATGATTATAATAGTTCTAAATTAGTTAATCATTAGTTCATATTGGTTCTACCATGTATTGTAAGCTAACGGGTATAATAATGGGAGTGTTAATACCCGGTATGTTAAGTGGCATCTAGTCGAGAAGTATCAGGGGTGCAAGTAAGAGTATGATACCATTATATCGTAGACCTCTATCTAAGGAGGTGTATAATACGGATAACAGGCATGTCATGGGCCGATATAGACACAGTATATTTCATACAGTATACATACAATACAAATTACATCATATTACATTCAAAAAAATCATTGGAAGATTGAGGAATCCCCTACTTCATATCACTCTCAGAAAAAAAAAAAAAAAAAACGGGATACCTTCACTGGGTCATGGGGACAGCCATGGAAAGGCCATGGGGATGTGTCCATAAATGGGGCTGCCCCTAAATGGATGGTTATCATATGGAGCATCCTATAAAAATGGATGATAAATGGGGTACCCCCATTTTAGGAACCCACCACCATATCACCAAAATATCACCAACATGTTTCTTGGGTGGTCATTGAACCGTGGTAAAATGAATGATTCGTGAGCAACGAGGACTTTCGAAGTAGGGTGTCGTCCAAAGCAATGTGGTAAACCCAAGCGTTATAAGTTATAACCAAAAAAAATACCCCGCTTACCCTTGACTTTCGGTGGTGTATGGTGGTGTAGGAGTTTCTCCGATTTACCACAAAAGAAAACATGTTGGGATCTGATCCATGATTTCTGGCTTCAAGACTCGACGGAAGCACCACATCTGTCAAGAAGCTGTTGTAATTCACCAAGCCTTGCAGGGTTTCAATGACCAAAGGGTCCAATCGGTTTGGGCGTTTTAGAATTTGGCGTCGCACTGCATGAGTCTGCAACATACTTCAAACCTTTTTGTCGCTTAGGAAAAAAAACAAGGACTCCGACATTATGTTTAATTAGACCGCCAACTCGGTGTTTTGCTTCAGAGACCTGCCTATTTTTCCAAAAAGTTCAGGTCTGGGCACAACATAATAAATCTTAAACTGGAGCATTGTCGGTGATTGGGTGATTCCCCATAAATATATATGTACCACTATGTACACATATATAAGAGATTATAGAACGATATAAAAAGCCATCATTTTATGGGCCGTGCTTTTGGTCGCCTCCTGACACGTCAGGAAGGAAGTCAACCTCCATATCTGCCAACGCTCCGCCGCATTGCCTGGACGAAGGGAACAGTCTGGCCACCGAAGGCCTTGCTAAGAGCGCTTAAAATCTTGGTATAATCTTGGTGGTTATATCATATATCCCAACAATTCCGTGGGTCATGTTTGTTTGGGATTGAGGAAAAACAAATTGTTTGTTTCCTGCAGTTGTTTACTTTTTTCTTCAAATCAAGCCATTGGTCGGGTGGGTCACCATTTATCACAGACAGCGTGGCGAGCAGCCTGATACACGACATGAGCACTGCCCATTGGACAAAGCCACTACCTGCGCATTGAGAGCGGATCAACAGATTGGGATTGGGGTTTGAGTGCCAGTCACAACGACAACAAGAACAGGAGTTGAAGGGATCAAATCTGTGGCATTTACTGGATGGTGCCACCCTGAAACCCGATAGTTTGCCTATCAAAGTCACGGGTGGATGTTGTCCATTGATCCCATTTGAAAGATTTTGAAAGCAGGGTGTGTAAGGATCAAAACCGGCCAGGTGATTGAAATTTTGTTTCGGGGAAAACCCCCATTGGATCTGGTAAAACTCATCCTGTTCCCTGTTATTTAATGGAAGTAACCGGAGGGGGGCACTCACCCATTTGCAAACAAACACAAAAATCACGTTGTTGGTGATATATCTCATCATATCCCATCATATTTCATTTATCTTCGATCCTTTTGTTCATAGTGACATCCCCCATTTTCAGGGAGACCCAAAATATCATATGTTGTTTGTATATGTGTATATATATATTACATATATATATATATATGTATTCCATTGATATCCCCATGAAATCCCGTTATGTATATCCCCGTAAAATTCGTTGTTTTACCCCCGTAAAAGCTGTTCCTTCCATGCAGGTGGGCCAAGGCCGCCACGCTCGAAGTCGGTCTCTTCCAGGGAAGCTCTCAGTTGCGGCAAGTTCTGTCGATGCACCTGGCATAGAATTGGATGATGGGAAAATTTGGAGGAAAGACCTATATTTGATGGTAAAAACCATGGTTTCCTGTAGATTTTCCCTTAAACCAATCCATTGAACCCGGTATTGACACACAAGCTGGTGGACTTTGTGGCTGATACCCTCTGGTAAACTCATATAACAAACTGGAAAATCACAATTTTTAATGGGTAAATCAACGAACTAAATGGCCATGTTCAATATCTATGTTGAATTACCAGAGGGTACTGGGTGATATCATATGTTTCATTTGGGGTTGTAAACCAGAATGAATCTCCTATATTACCATGTATGGTTTACACGGTAATACATGGTAATACGGTATATAACTATATAACTATCTTCCGAACAATACCGCACGATTTATATGGTATTCCAATATGGTTGATGAATAATAAGCCCCCAATGTTACTCATGGTTTATCTAATTTCATTTATTTACTGTTTAAATAAATATATCATATGGTTTATGTTTTGGGTCATACTTGGGTAATGTGGTAACCCGAATTATGAATAACTATGCACCATCACAAATATTACCATAAAATGGTGTGTGAAAACAATCTCCAAGCTGATAGGTTTATTATTGGGTCTACCACATTGTCACACAAGAATGCCATGGTCCGTGTTGCAATGTTTATGACTGCTCTTCAAGTCGCGGACTGGAATGGCAAATTCAGTTTCTATGGCCGTTTCAAATTCCGAAAGTCCCCGTGAATGTGGATGATGAAACCAACATTTCTGCTGATGAAACCCCAATTCTGTGTTACAGCAAACCCCCCAAAAAATAGACAAGTCAAAATATCCCAACTATATATATATATAGAAAAAAAAAGAGAAAAGTCAACATATCCCAATCTTCCCAATCAAATAAAAAGGGAAGACTCGAACCTGTTCGATCTCTTGGGAAATCTTGGGGAAAACCCGGTCCGAGCGTTTCCTGCCTCATGCGCCACGGTATAGATGATTTGCTGTTCCAGGCATTGGTACCTGGCACTGCTTCCGGAGCCGTGTCTTGGTTTTTCGACAGAAAATTGACATGAAATGTGTCCATAAAGCAACAACTAAACTTCACTAAGTTTCAATGTGTATTTTTGAACCATTAACGACTAAACTTAACTAACCAAGAATCAGACTGATATAGTCATGGTCACAAGTGACAAGTGATACTAACTGTTTCCCAACCATCTTCTCGAAACTTGGCAATACCCGAATGTTTATAGCCACTAATATATTGCAAATATGAGATTTTAGAACCATTGAGTTTTTAAGGATATCCAATGTTTGGCAAAGCTGCTTGTCCCAGAATTTGTATGGAAACTTCGCGGGAAAACCATGGTTGGGGTTTTAAAGCCATGGTTTCCTGCGAAGTCCCTCAGTTTTGATCCTTTTAGATCCCACTAACGGTGACACTCTGGTAAACCTTTACATAACAAACTGGAAAATCACCATTTTTCATGGGTAAATCAACGAACTAAATGGCCATGTTCAATAGCTATTTTGACATAACCAGAGGGTACTGGGTGATCTCATATGCATTCATATGCTCCATTTGGGTTTGTAAAATTTTATAAACCCAGAATGGTCCATCCTCCCATCCCCCAGTTCGGATCCCATTCGGATCCCACGTGTTTCCTGCGCCCTGCGGGCACTCGTTGAAGCCCTGCAGACTGCCCTGCGCCATCTGCGCACCAGGAGGCGAACCATCGAAGCTGAGCCTGGAGATGACCATCCACGACATGGATCATACGGATGGCTGGTTGGGAAACAATTTGGGATACAAAAATATATCATGGGGATACGAATAGTATGATACAAATGTATATGAGACAATGGGATATGATATGATATGATCATTTTGGGAATATATAGGGGAACACGATCTGAAAACATATGCGCCAAAATGGATGGTTTATCATGGAAATCCTATGAACCAATGGATGATTGGGTGGGGTACCCCCATGACTTAGGAAACCTCCATATGATAATCATCTGATAAATTTGGTATGTGGGTTTTTTTGATGTATGATATGGATACCAGGGAATATCGTTGGACATTCATGCTGAGATTTCCTATGTCAGCTAGGATCATCCTCCTAGTAATCGAACATGGTTGGCTGGAAAATTCCCACTTTTGTTTGATGGTTTGCCCAGTGCCAATACATGGATACAATGGGATACGATGGAATTAGATGGGATATTATGGAATATAACTATATAATGGAATATAATATAACTATTACTATGATGTAATATAGTGGAATAACATGTGGATAATCTGACAACATATATATATATATAATTATATAATGGCTGGAAACAAGTTCCATGATTTCCCGCTGATCACTGTCTAAATCATTGGTTGCTTGTCCATGATCACCCATTTGGATAGATGATAAGAATTCACTAGCCTCATCATCCATATCTATCTATATATATATATATATAGATATATGGAGGTTTCCACAAATGGGGGATCCCAAAATGGATGCTTTATAATGGAAAGCCTATTAAAATGGATGATTTGGGGGTACCCCAAATTTTAGAAAACCTCCGTATATGCATATTTCACATCATGTATCCGGATGCATAAAGGACACTGAAAAAATAGGTGTCCAATCCATGTGATTCCATGTGTATATATATATATCCTCATTATTTTCTATTGATCACCATATACATCACTAGAAGTTTCCATTCTCATGCCACATATGTGGTTCAACATACTAAATCCCTAGATTTTTTAAGTATCAGCCATAAATCACTGCATGTATATATATATATATGTTTTAATAAATCACTACAAATCACTATGCTGTTTTCATAGTCATCCCCACTATGTCCCCATTATATCCCCAAAAGTCCCCATTCATCCAGATATATACCAGTATGTATAATTGATGATATGTTCCATTAATCACTATACAAATCATTATAAATCACTATACTTTTTTGTTATCATCTATTGTCATCCATATCATTCGTATCCCCATGTTAGTCACTATAGGCTAATAGGAGGTTTCCGAAGTCATGGGGGTACCCCACCCAATCATCCATTTTTATTTTCGGTTTTTCCGTGAAATAAACCAACCAGCTATTGGTGTATCCCCACTATGGAAACCCCCAGGGTGGTTGGTTTCTGCCAAGATTGTGGAGATTTTCCGTATTAATCACCATAATCAGTTGTCACAGTTATCACAATAAAATCATCACCATCACAATGTCAGAGCTATCACCATAATCATCACTAAATCACTAAATTATGGTTGTGTTATCACTAAATCCACCTATAATCTATTAACATTAATAGTGTTCAATGATTCCCAATGATCTACCTAGATTCGGGTTATTTCATGGAAAATCCATCTATTAATGGATGACTGGGGGTACCCCCATGACTTAGGAAACCTCTATATGAAATTATATAACAAATAATTTATAATGATATATATATATATATGAGCAGGGACCCCCACACCCCCCCCCTCCCCAGCCAGATGGTTCCCCCCACCCCCTGTGGCAGGGGAGGGGGGGTTTTCTCAGCAGCCAAGCGGTGTCTGTAGTCTTTATAGTGCATATAGTGCATATGTATCGATAATTAGAATGGATATACTATATGCAATATAGAGTGTATGTGTGGTGTGTATATATATATATAAACATATATATATATAATATGTAAGATATAAATAGAATATATGCAATATATATATATATATAAAATATAATATATATATATATAATATATATAATATATATAATATATATAATATATAATATGTACATAATATAATATATATATAATATGTATATATATATGATATATATATATATATATATGATATATATAAATATATATTTGACATATATATATATATATGACATATATATATATTGAACATATATATATATATCGTATATGTGGATTTTGATAGAATATAGATAGTACATGCCACATGTACTGTATCCACAGTAGATGTAATATATACAATATAGGTAAATATGTTCGTTGAATAAATTTTACATAGTATATGTGGTATATTGAATATCGACAGCAATACACGCTGTATATCTAGAGTTTATGTATATATATATATGTGTACAGTATGTACAATATAAACGAAATATGTGATAGATACAAGATCAAGATATCAATATGTAGTATCTAGAATGTGCATATATATATATATTTATTTATTGTTTTTCTACTGTACATATGTCTAGGTTTGCATAGGTAAGCTTTGCGTAATCCATAGGTAGCAAATATGTTGTAAACCATGTGCGAGGCACGCTATAGGCGGTTCGAAAAAAAGGTTATGATAGAAGTATACAGGTAGACAAGGTCCGTTGACGAGGTCGTGGCTCTCAAGTGCTGCAAATAACGTAGAGATGCGAGGTTGGAGGGGTGGAAAGGGGAGTATATATGTGAATGTGTATGTATATGTGCAAATAACATGCAAATACTAGGTTTTGGGGGGGTGAGGGGGGTTAGGAGTGGGGGGGATACCATTGGGGGGGAGGGGGGGGGGTGTGGGGGTCCGGGGACCGGGCTCATATATACATATCAATAAATCACCGTAAATCACCATTGTCCATGATCATCCCGTCCCGCCCTGTTGGCGTCCCGCCTGGACCGCGGCGTGGACGCGGAGGCCGTATCAATGGTGGACATGCCGGGGATGGCTTCCACGTCCTGAGAGCTATAAAAATATCCTGGGAATATGATCTGAAAAAGGATGATGCATGGAGATATAGTGGGAATATGGATGTTCTATGGATGATATACGGATGATATACGGATGATATATATATATATATATACGTATCAATCTAGTGATCATATAGGCTAATATAGGTATATGGAGATATAATGGAGTAGCTGAGTTGGGAAAACAAAGATGAACCAATTTTAACCACTGAAAAATGGTTTGAAACATCTATACAAAAATTTGGGGAAAGAGTGGCATATGATTTATATTTTTCAAGTGATCAAAAGCCTCTATTGTTACATCATATATATATATAACATCAGCCATGGGAGACTGACATTGAGAGCCAAGCCAACCACGCCACGCACTACCTTCGACAAGAGCTTGAGAAGACACAAGAACCAGCCTTCCACAGTAAGAAGGCATATGTCTCAGATGAGATCTGGCGCATTCGTGATGAGAAAATCGCACATCGAAAGAAGCTCAAAGACCAGAGGCATCATCTCAAGTTCCAACTCTTGACGAGGTGTTTCAGAGCATGGAAGACGAGACGAGAAGATGCCCAAGCTGATCTTTTCTTCAACCATGAAACCACGATTCTTTGTTACAACTTTCACACATATGTCCTGTACAAGAGCGTTTGCAAAAGACTCAAAGCTAAATTGATCACGGCCAAGCATACAGAGCTCAATGAGGTCTTGTACAACATCGACCCATCCACGCCGGCATCATCAGTTTTGAGAACGTTACGCCGCTTTACAGGACCAACGAACCCAAAGAAGCAGAAGAGAGCCAACCTGCCAATTGTGTCGGATGAGCAGAGCACATCTTGTGGTCTGCCCAATGACGCTCTTGCAGTATGGGTACGCTACTTCCAAGACATGGAAGCCGGGGAGAGAATGTCCATGCCGCGACTTCGCCAGCAGTGGATCACAGAGCTTCAACAATTTGCCCAATCTTCGCTCTTGGAGCATTTCGAAGCCCTACCCTCATTGACAGAACTGGAGCTAGCATTGAGGAGGGTACCACGAGGCAAAGCATGTGGACCTGATGGACTACCGGGGGAGCTCTGTCATTTCTTCCCAAGCTCCGTTGCAAAAATCTTGTTTTCACAGTTGGTCAAATTGACACTTCATGGACAAGAAGATCTCTCTGCGAAGGGAGGCTTTGTGGCACCGATTTACAAAGGCCGTGGACCCATTGATCGATGTTCGTCTTACAGATCCATTTTAGTATCGAACCATCTGAGTAAAGCCATTCATCGATCGATTCGGCAAAAGCATGCGCCACTGTATGAACAATTTCTCCAGACACAACAAAAAGGCGGTCGCCAAAAGACCCCTGTGCAGTTGGCGATGCACCAAACGAGGGCCTTTGTACGACAAGCCAAGCAAGCGGGCCGTTCAGCCAGCATCATATACCTTGATTTGACAGAAGCATTCTACAGGATCATCCGTGAAGTTCCGATGGGTGGCTGTCCTTCCGACGAACTGGTTGCGCACATTATGACCAAGCTCCGCATGCCACCGGATGCACTGCATCAAATCCAGGAACTGCTTGCTGAACCGCCAGCCCTAGAACAGGCAGGCATGGGAGAAATGGACCGAAGATGTGCACGGGCACTGCACACTGGAACCCACTTCTGGCTGAAGAACCAGAGTGACGTGGTTCGAACTTGCGCAGGTACCCGACCTGGAGACTGACTGTTTTGCGGACTTCATCTTCAGTTTTGCATGGTCCTGTGTGCTCAAGAAATTGGAAAACTACATGCAGGAGACCCACGCACTGGTCCACTTCGAAGGGCAAACAGACCTCCCTCTGTTTGGTCAGGCATGCAACAATGGCCTTTGGGCGCCTTTCCTAGGCCCGACGTGGATGGATGATTTGGCGGTGTGCCTCCAATCTGACCTGCCCACTAGTCTGGTGTCCATGACAGGACATGTCACGAGCAAGCTCATTGACTTGTGTCACTACCACTGCATGCCCCGAATTTGGCCAAAGGAAAAACAGAGATTATGATGATGTTCCGTGGACCGGGTTCCAGGAAGGCGAAAGTTGACTATTATGGTCCACACTCACCTGGCACTTTGCCAGTCCTGGGTGAACACGGCCTTCATCAAGTACAACTGGTCTCTGCCTACCGCCACTTGGGTGGTATCCTGCACCACACTGGTGACCAGCATGCAGAGATCAAAAGGCGTACCGGTATAGCCCATCAAGCTTTCAATCAGAACCGCAAAGTTGTATTTCAAAACACAAAGATTGACATCAGAAAACGTTGTGAACTGTTTGAGATGCTGGTGCTCAGCAAGTTTCTGTACGGAGCAGACACCTGGATTGCCATGGACAATCGCACCATGGCGCGTTTCCAGGCATCCATCTTCAAGCTGTACCGAAGACTTCTGCAAAGGCAAGCTCAATGGCACATCTCGGATGAGGAAGTGCTCGACAAGCTTCGTTTGCCTTGCCCAACAGATCTCTTACGTCGTGCACGTCTTCGCTATTTTTGCACGTTGGTACAGATGATGCAATCTGACATCTGGGCTCTGCTGGCAAGAGATACAGAATGGATGGGACTTCTGGAACAGGATATCCTATGGATGTGGACGCAATTGCGCAATTCCTCAGGGTTACCTGATCCCAGAGAAAACTTTGGATATTGGCGAAACTTGGTTCTCCACAGTCCAGGGTATTGGAAACGTCTCATCAAGAGAGCAACCCAACATGCAGTTCTTCAACAATCCCGACAATATAGAGTGAGATTGACACACAGGAAAGCTCTGGAATGCCGGCGCAAGATGCTGATCGAGGCACCACGTTTGCAGACATCTCACGAGATGGAGGAGGAGGAGACCGAGGCATTTGGATGCCTGGGTTGTGGCCTTCACTGTGTCAACAAAGCTGGCGAAGCTGCGCACATGTACAAGGTGCATGGGCAGCCATCCAACCTGAGACCGCTGTTCGATGAGCCGACATGCCCAGCATGTCTGCGTCATTATCACACCATGCGCAAGATGAAGGCACATCTGTACTACAGTGCAGTATGCCGAGATCAACTGCGCTCCTGTGGCATTCAATGTGGACTTGTACCAGGAGCAGGGTCGCGTGAAGATTGTGAACGTGCTGCAGACCATGACCGCCTTCTTCCACCTCTACAAGGACAAGGTCCCAGAGTGGAGTCTGGCTTACAGAGACATTTTCTGGACATTGATGAAGGAGTACATGATTTCATTGTGACGGCGCTGGAAGAGCACTGCACACTGGAAGAATTGTCCTCGAGGGTCCGAGAGCATGTGCGTGGCCTTGCTTTGTCTTGGACCCGTTTTACGTGCACCATCCAGTATGTCTTGGACCACTTTGAACAGCAGGATGCGGAGTTCTTTGGCTATGATTTGAGACAACTGCGGGCTGTCTTATCGAGGCTGAGAAACCCGGCTTCCTGGCCCTTTCTGCAGTGCAGTCAGCAACATGAAGCGCCTTTACCCAGTCTGCAGCATATGGGGGATGAATGCAGATTGCTAGAGGATTTCATTGAACGCAACCCTGATCGAGTTGTTCAAGTCCCTCGTGAATTCGGGCGACATAGAGTCGTCCTACATGCGTTTTCAGGTCGAAGACGCCGAGGGGATGTGCAATTTTTCATGGACCTGCTCGCCAAGAAGCAGGACAAGTATATTTTGCACGTCGTATCGATGGACGTGATCGTCAGCAAAGAATGGGGGGACGCCACATGTCCTACCACATGTGAATTTTGGTGGAGGGCGATTCAGCGGCGACATGTGATCGCCTTCAGACCACCCTGCGAATCCTGGTCTCAAGCCAGGGGCCAGCAGACTGGACATGAGGCGGAGGATATGGCGGCGAACCCTGCATCGAAACATGGACCTCGGATCATCAGAACCATCCTTGAGCTTTGGGGAATGGACTGTGTCTCCCTGAAGGAGCTACGACAGCTCTGTGTAGGGAATGACCTGCTCTTCTTTTCCATCCTTTGCATCATTGCCTTGATCGAGGTTGAGGGATTTGCCATCATGGAGCACCCGGCGGAGCCGACCAAGGAGGAGGCGGCATCGATTTGGCGTACTGCGCTAGTGAGAGCTCTGATGGCTTTTCCTCAGGTTCAGTGTGTAAGATTTGCACAGGGTCTTTTAGGAGCTAAGACTCCCAAACCGACCAACTTACTCACTGTCAATTTGCCCCGCATGCTTTTTCACCTGCATCAAGGTAGGATTTGTAAAGAGCTGCCAACTTCAGTTGCGATAGGGCGTACTGAGACTGGAGTTTGGCGCACGACTGCCTTGAAGGAGTATCCTCCTGCGCTCTGTAGGTGCATGGCTGTGGCCCTGATGGAAGCTTTTGACCAGACACCGGTCGCTTCTCAGGCCAAAGACCCGACGAAGGAATTTCTTGATAGGTGCCATGACATGGTGATGACTTCATATGGTGATGAAATTGGTGCCGATTATGCTTTTTCCTGATCGGGTGGACGCTCAAGGGAGCGTGAATTCAGGTGCTTGGCCGCAGCGTAATGCTTCAGTGGGCTGGGAGTGAAAAAAAAAAATATACTGATCGGTTTTTTGAGCGGGCCCAGTTCACGGATGATGATAATCCTTAACACATTAAGGGTAGGGATAACCCCCGAACTCATCAGCCGAGGGGTTAAACTTTGCTCAGCCGAGGGCTGTCTGATTTCAGCTGTCTGAAAATGGTGGGTTTAAAAGTAGCAATCTGTTGAAAGTGGATCATCTCTGCAGTGGATCATCCAAAAAGCGGATCCAAATTGCCTCTACCAAGAGATGTTTGTGGATTAAAACAGCAAAACAATGGAGCTATGGCAAAATTGGATATCAATCTTTATTGCCACCCTGGATGGTCAACCATTATTTAGTCGACTTGGCATTAAGAAATCTAAAAAACGTACCCCATTCTTTTTTAACAATGAGACTCTACCAAATATGGATAATAGTGTGAAACATTGGAATGATTTCGCCACTTGTTGCAACGCCTATTATATATAATATGTATATATATATATATAATGTACACAATGTGTATATATATATATACATACAGTGTATATATGTATATATATATATATATATATATGCGGTAACCATACAAAATAGAATGCCTGCAAATCTGTTTTTTTTCTGGTGCGGTTCCCCTCGCCATGGTAGCGGCCTTTGCGTCCGGTTGCTTCTCTGGAAGGACCATGGGCAAAGCTGAGCGCGGGCAACATGGACGATGGCTAGACAGGAGATGCAGCGAAGCGCTTGTGACAACTCCATCATTGATACAAGGTGTCCCATATTGATTTATATAAATCAATACCGAGTTATTCATTAAACAATATCATCACTATGTCATATTCAAATCAATATCTAAATATATGATAATATATGGTTGTTCTATAAAATTTAGGGTGATATTGATTTGAATGACCCGGATTTCTGATACATCGAACTACAAGGTGAGGCCCCCAAACGCTTTGGACAGCGTTGAGTTGAGGCAATAACTTGGCTGACTGTTGGTATTAGGGGGATATAACATGATACAACGAACTAGTAGGGGGTGAAACTAAACCAACAAACATAGCTGGGGTGGGCCTTATTACACGTCGTTTTTGAAGGAAATGATCTTGCTGTTTTCCGTGAGTCTATGTTATCATTTACTGGGGGCTATCTGTTGAAATGGTGAAAATCTGGAAAAGACTTGGAACACGAGGGAAAATTGCGAGCAAAAATGTGGGCAAATGTGAATAGAATCTAGTAGAAATGTGGGAACATGTGCAAAACAGGATTAAAAATTGGAAGAGATATCCACACTGCAAATCATGAACCTCAAAAAAAATATAGCCAGCTAGTGTTTCATGGTGATCTTCAAGTGGGACCTCTACTTCTTGGAGTGGAAGAAGTGATCGTCCATAACAAGGCTCCCTCATGATGAGAAAAAACACCGTGAAAAACAGTGTACCACTGGACGCCAACATGTTGGAGCCAATGAAATTCAATTCATTCGGATGGGTTGAAACTTAACAATCCATACTGTAATGTTATTAATGGGTAGAAACTCGGATGGCTTGAACATAACACCATTATTTGGAAGTCATACGGGATGTCAATGAATTTTACCATTACCAAATTTGCTGGCGACAGTAAATCCCAATTATTTTGCTATTCATTGTTTTTTTACTCGAATATTGTCCAACTATTATGGAGTTATAAATGGTATCAATCAATCCCAAAAAGTTGGATAACATTAGATTAACATTAGATTAAATTACATATTAGTTGATACTATTATGGTATATTATCCACATATTACCCTCTGGTAAACTAACATAGCTATGGAAAATCACCATTTTTAATGGGTAAATCCACTATAAATGGCCATTTTCAATAGCTATGTTAAATTACCAGATGGTAACAACACATCCATCAATCCCAACGATTTTCCATGCTTCACCGATCTCAAAAAACTGAGATCCCAAACAGGCGCCCTCGGCGCACGTACGCGCCATACGCATCCACGGCATGTCTAACCTCGAGCGACAGAGGTTTCACATGGGGCTGGTGGTTTTTATGGATGAAAACTTCAGGAAAATGTTTTTCAGTAAAGTCACGACTATAGTCATGATTCTTTGAAATCATGGAAAACTTCAGGAAAATGTTGAAGTTTTTAGTCACTCATGATGTCATGATTCTTTGATTTCATGGAGCTATAGAAAAATCCCCCAAGATGTGAAAAAAAAGAAAGTCAGTGACACATCTATGGGCCAAAATCTGAAAATACGGGAGCAAAATCCAGTGGTTTCTCATCATTTTCCATGTTGAAATGGCCCCAAAATGAGGTATTCCAGGTTTGAAGATCGCAGGGTCTTCCAGTAGCAGTAGCTGTGGGTGATCTACAAATGCCCACAGCATTCCAACTACTTTGCTTTTCTGATTCCATCAATTTTGACGTCCCTGGTGAGGTCGCTGTAAAATCGCTGATTTGCCCAGGTCTTACCGGTCTTACCCCCATTCAACAACCAAAACCACCAACCCTTCATCCAGGACGTCAATCCTGACGTCGCCCAGAAACAACGTCTTCGCGTCGGGCCGCTTCTCCGGCCTCGGCTGCGCTGCGCTGCGCCACGCTGTGCTGTGACATCCCTTCGCGAGTGTATCCATAGACTTAGTGGATCATCCCTATCGTTCGGTCACAGAATACACATATCTATTGATAAATACCTTAATTAATTTATTGATATGTCTCATGAAAAACATGTAATATTATATGTAGTATCATAATAATTTATCATATACAACATGGTCAAAACCATGGCGCTTTATCGTCCGGTCAAAACCCCGAGGCCCCGGGCTCTTTTTCCAGGCACAGCGCGATGAAACTCTTTGCCTCGGTGGAGATGTGCCTCCACACCTGGCAGCTCCGCCAGGTCGGCCGGGTCGGATGGCTATGGCCCAGCTATGGCGGTGCGACCTGAAAACCTGGGGACCTGGGGATAAGGGACAAGTTCTGATGATCAATTGTGGCATATTTGATGATCATATGGGAAAGTTATTGTGGCGATAATTTTCGGAAAACCCAGCTTTCTGCAAGCTGCAAGCAGCTGCAGTCCCCTGAATGGGGAAGTCGTCAGTGGGAATCATCAGCCGTGAAACCGTGAAACATGTTTGAAAGCACCAAGCAGCTTTCAAATGGGCAGAGTATGGGATAATATGGCTATGGGTCCTGGGTCAAAATTAAAGTTCTGCGGGGCCACAGATTTTAGTATGTTTAGTCATTGTTTTCGTTTTAACCATCCAATTATTGGGTACCCAAGCTTGACCCCATACCCGTATTATATCATATTATCAGATTATGATGCTGGGATAGTCAGTGGGTAATACATGGGATATGTTCCCCCAATATCTAAATGTGGGATAACAGGATTGCTCCCAACATCCAAATAAAAGGAGGCCAAAACATGTGTGCATAGACAGGTAGCATGACATATGTCCCACTGGTCTATGGGTTGGAGCCAACCTGTAGAAGATGGGCTTGAAAACCAACCCATACCAACCCCAAATTCGGCAGTTTCAGTTACTGGACCTCTGAGTAAGGGATGCTGGGCTGCTGACTAAGAAGAATCTAGATCATAGGGGATAAAAAAACCATATCAAATATGTGTTTGTTTTATTATGTATCTATCTTCCGACTATCCAAAACTGGGAAGCAAATCGACCATCACTCATCCTGTTGGAGCCATTCAACCCTGTAAGGATAGAGCAGATAATCGCCAATCGGAGCCATCCTATGGGGATGTTGTATTTTCAGGTTTCAGCTGGGGTAATTCCTATTACACCCAAATAGACTGATAAACCTAAAACAAGGGAATAAAACCGTTAAGCACAGCGACTCAAGCACTGTTTTCTCCTGAGCCGCACAGCTGTCGTACATACCTATATTACAGTGTGTTTTATGTGAGGTGATTTTACACCCCCCTCAGGTGAGCCGGCTACGGCGAGGATGCCACATTTACCAGGGCGAGGTCTTTAAGACCTGCCTCACCGAACCTGCTCTTTGCGAACCCAAGGGAAAACACACTCGGCGGATCTCGGCGGCTATGATACAAAAACCGATCGTCAATGCAAGTAGTGTCACAACTTATCCCTCTTCCCACTCAACTCGGCCATGCCTGATGACTTTCTCATACCAGCGTCCATGCCACTTCTGCCACTCTCCAGTGTAACGGCGATCATCGTGGGACTGACTTTGCTGAGGGCGGTTGATCCACTGACTTGCAGACGTTGATGATGAAGCTACCTCTACGTGGATGGTCGGGCAACCGGTTTGGCGGTGCCTTTCTTGGAGGGACCTTGGCCGTACGCACCAGTCTGCTCAGCTTTGCGCTTGGCCTCGTTCTGTTCGCGGGCCCTGTCAGACTGTTTCTTCTTCTCTGCTGCGTTCTGCTTGTACAGCTCCTCATTTTGTCCCTTAATCCACCTCAAATGACGTTCTGCATCATGAACGGCAATGTTGTCAACACCAGTACAAGACAACAAAAGATTGTGTCCAGGATTCCGGTTGAGGTAGTCAATGTACTCTTCTTCTGAGTAGATTTCCGTACGGTACATGTAGAACCATGGTTGGTCAATGTACCTGAATGATTTCGGGACATCAAGACGGCTTGCCAAATCCAAGTAAACCAGCCTCATCGCATTGTGCTCCAGCTGAGATTGCTCAGAAACACCCATCTTGACCTGAGCTTTGGTGCGACCCGGCTTTGGCAAATGTGCAGACTTGAGGAGGTCGTACCTTTCACAATCGTACTCGTTCTCCCCCTCGTTCAACACGCTCTCTGCGAATGTGGCGTCCTGGGCAAACCTGTCAGCCACAGACACATAGCCTAAGCTCAAGGCACGGTCGAAACGACTCTTCGCCCTTGCCAGCAAACCGGCTTCCGGACTTGAGCTTCCCCTTGCCTGGTCGTCCAACAAACCCAAAGATTCAAGCTGACCATGTGTGATGCTCTGCAGGTACTCACCACGAAAATCATAGTACAAGCCCAGCTTGTGAAGGGCGGCCTTCCTTCGTTCTGCAATCTTGGTTCGGTCGGCCTTGTTCACCCCTTCGAGCATCAATCCACACACATCGCATTCAATCTGTCCCTTGAAAGTCTGTGCAAAACATCTTGAACATTGCGTGACTTCAATCTTGACCGGCACCGGCTTCTTGTCCTCCTTCTTCACCTCTTTCTTCGAAGGTTGGTCATCGCCTTTAGGGCGAGACTTCTGCTTTGGCACCAGTGACTTTGATGTTGATGCTGGCGTCTTTTTGGGTGACTCTGCAACTGGAGCTTTTGGATCTTTCTGCACTGCCTTTGGTGGTGCAACTTTTGGAACAGGCTCCAAGAAGGCCGCAGCTGATGATGCCGCAGGCACAGCTGCGGGCACGCTTGTCAGGGCTGCCTTCTTCTTTGCAGGTTCATCCTTTGCTGCTGCATCAACTTCTGAGGTCACAGCTTTTGGAACTTCTGGTGCATGAGGTGCAGAAGTCCCTTCCTTCGGTGATGGTTTTGGAGGCGCCTTTGGCGGTGTCTTTGGGCCTTCAACCTTTGCTGCAGGAGGCTTTGGAGCTTCACCCTTCGGAGGAGGGGGCAACAATCTGCTGCTTGCATATCCAGGCATACCGGCAAGTTGGGCCACATTTGGTGGCGGAGGCTTCACCTTCCCTGGGAAAAATGCTGTTGCAGTGGGCGCGCCAGTTGAGGCGGCCGGAGGCGTGGAACCAGTCCGTTTTGATGCCTTGGCCTCAAAGGTCTCGACAAGCTGCTGGACTCCAACTTCTCCCCCACTGCTCGCTGCAGACTGTGCAACCTCCTGCTGGCGACGATACAAATTCACCTTCTTGGCAGTGTCATCGACAGAGATAATGTATTGAGGCGGTACGACGTCACTTGTCAAAATGCCGTCAGAGGCCGTCCTGAAAAACACAATGCCAGCTTTGACAGCTTCAGCCATTGCTACCCTGATTTCAATGGGTCTTTCAGCACGCAACCCGCTCACATACTCGTTCTCATCGACTCGAACATCGCTAAAATAGGAGTGAGCTCTGCCTGATGAATTTCGTTCTCCTCCTCCAGCCACGAAGCCATTCTCAATGATGCCCTTCCAATTGCCTTTTGTAGTCCTGTGATAAACTACGCCAGGGCACATCTGAGGAGTGGTAATCTTTTTACCTTTGGCGTTCATTTTCTGGATCGCTGCTGCTCCAGACAGAGCATAGATTTCCACTGCATTGAACGTGTCCTCAGCTGAAGCGGCATCCATGGCACGTTTCGTATGCCCCTGCACTGCACGGATCCTGATGGGCCAGTAGGCTAACCCTTTACGGGTTGCCTTCTGGTACCCGGCAATGCACTGGAACTCAAAACGGCACTTGCTGTCCCAGTAGAGCAATGAGATAAGCTCTTCAACTGTCATTCGGGGCAACTTGGCTGGCAGCATTTGGTTGAACATTCGAAAGAAGTCATCAAGGTCAAGCCACATGTTTTCATCAAATCCAGAGGTGTCCTGACCCGGCTGTCCACGTGTCACTGCATTGACCTTAGTCTTGTGTCGGTCCATGCGATCTGGGAACCTCAGCTCTTTTGCCCCATCCATCTCCCAACAGGTTTTGACGATCAATTCGTAGGGATGGGAATCAACGACGCAATGTTCAACTACTTCTGCATTTATGTTTTCGTCCAAAGTGATACGATATTTGTCAAGGTGTCCAAGTGCGTGTTTCGGAATGATGGTACCCTTGATCTCGTTTTCTTGCAGGGGCTCACCAGCTGAGGTGGCCTGAGTTGAATCCTCCTGCGTCGTCTGAGGTTTCGCCTTGGGGTCAGGCGGAGCTGCGTGGCTTGCCTTGGCTTTGCCAACAGATGGGCCCTCGTGCTCATCGGGATCCAGAGCGTCCCATGGGTCGCCTTCTTCATCATCATCCTCGGCGACACCAGCATCGGTCGGGCGAGCTCTCAACTCCTCTGCTGTGAAGCTTTCTGGGGTCGAGACGCTCGGTGCAGGCTTGTTCACCTTCTCCCGGAGAGAATTCAGAACCTGCACAAACCTGACTGGGAGGTGCTCCATCTTCGGTGTGACATCACGCATTGTAGCTTCACCTGCAGGGCGCCTACGCTTGTACAAAGACAGGTTGTACTGAGGGATCAAAATGTCCGTCATGTGCAACATGTGGAGAGTTGCCATGACATATCCGATCATTTCACTTCGGTTGAGCTCGGTCTCGAACGCGTGAAAGTAGTCCCTGAGCTCAAGCCTCGGTGGGAGCATGTCATTCTTGATCCACCGAATCCGATCGTTGTCACTGGCAATCTCCTTGTGGAACCATTCCTTCAGACGATCAATAAACGTCGTGAAGATGAGACTCAATCCATAAGTGAGCGGGTCGGGCTCGCCGATTAGGGCGGCCTGATCCACTCCCAACTCCTTGAGCTGATTGTTCCACCAAACGATGTTGCCTTTGACCCTGTCCATGATGGCATTCCAGTCGCCCTGTGGTTCCCTCTGCCCCCAAATGGGAAGGGGTTCAACACCATATTCCCCACAAATTTCATTCCCAGACCAAAAGATTACCGAAATAACCCTGATGGCTGATCCATGAGAAGAATATTTCGCCATCAGCTCCTTGATCATGGAAATATTTGCTTTGCAGAGCTGTTGCAAATCCTTACCCCAGAGCATGTCATGACCGATTTCGAGAACCATGTCTGACTTTCGCAATCCCAGATCCTCCTTCAAGGTGTACTTCTTCAAAGTCTTACCCTTTCCAGTGATCAGAGCCAAAGTTGAATCGGAAGTCACCACATAGATGGTGGGCACGACGTCTACCGCCGGCCTTGATGTCCCAGGGACGTACTCAGTAGGCAAGCTCAGAT